AAGCATGTCACATCTCTGTAACACTAGAATGTAACACATATTCTGTAACACACATGCCAACATAGAGCTATATAAATAATTATGCAGCACCAAGCACAAGAGTGCAATTCCATGGGGCTCAGGTGGCTGCTATCCAGCTATGGGATCTCACAGACATCACCTGGGAAAGCCTAACATACAATGGAGTAGCTCCAATATGACTGGGTACTTGCCCCCAACACCTGCCACAGCCTTCTAAGCTTCTATCCCCAGAGCCTGTGATTGAACCCTGCCCATGAGACCCCCCTCTGCTCAGTGTCAGCTTCTTCCTGGCTGGGGTTGAGCAGGAATGGCTCAATCAGTATATAATTGTTTTTAATTAATGTGAGGATCATTTCACAGGCTGATCTCCTTGGAGACCATAAGGAAGATGGTCTTTTAAGAGTTTCTTTGTTTCCCCTCCCATGCCCCCACCTGTGCACCTCTCCCAGCAAAAGGTTATCCTCCACTTTCACCCACCATCTACAACCTTGAGAACTGCACAGAAGCCTGGCTCCTGGGTCCTCTCAGGGCCATTAGGAGAAAGTGTGTGTAACACACACATGGTTGCCCCCTAACACACAACTGGGATTTCACAGATACATACACACACCCACGTAGAGGGCACCCACAAGTATATGTGCCCAGCCAGCAGGTACACAGAGTTGTTAAGGAAGATGTGTGTTGGAGCCAGGCGTGATGGTCCATGCCTATAATCCTGATACTTAGGAGGGCTGAGGTAGGAGGGTCACAACAAGTTGGAAGCAAGCATGATCTATGTAGTATACGCCCATATCAAAAAATAAATGAGAACAAAGCAGCTGGATAGGATTAGAGGCACCCACACAGGTACACTCACAAAACAAAGACACAAACACATGACAAACAGATGATCACTCACCTGCACAGACATACCACAGAAAATGTCCACATGTCTATATTCAGTACCGTTCTCAACCTCCATAGCTGGAGTGCTGGCAGAGAAGATGGACGGCCCTGGCCCTGGATCGGGGATCAGGAACCTGCCTGTTACAAGTGTCTCTTAAGCTCCTTAAACTGGAGGTACTGCTCTGCCACCTGCTTCACAGGGGACTTGGAACAGAGAATCCACCAACCCAGTCCCTGTATGCCACCTACTTGGTTTGGGTTCTTCTGATCCCAAACATGTACTACACCCTACCTACAGAGCTACACCAGGGTGCTCAGCACCAACTGGCCTGACACCCCTACTGGGAGTAGTGTCCCCAGTCTCTCTTCTAGGTAGCTGATGAGGCCCACAGGGCTTTCTCTTTTCTTTATTTCTTTCATTCTTCCCCATTTTCCTTCCTCCATTCTCTTCCTTTCAAACTTCCCCTTTTTGGAATCTCTTTCTCAATTCACCATTTTCCCCTCTTTTACCCCAGGAAGTCCAGAGTCAACCTCAGGCCAGAGAAAGAGACTTCAAAAGGGGTCTTACTCTTCCCCACTACAGACATAGAACATCTGACAGGTGGTTATATCTGCTTGGCTCCTGGACTTAGAACCTGAGGCACAGAGGCAGGGGAATGACCTCAGGCCTTAATTCTGAAGCCCTACCCCTCTTGAAGCACCTGCTTTTCACCCACAGCTTTTTCTTTTGGAAAATGAAATGGCAAAAGGTAAGAACTGCTGTTTGGAAGGGTAACAGGGAGCCATGGCCAGCCAACTTCAGGCTGATGGCTTGGGTAGTAACCCTGGGCCCATGAGCACCATAGTATACATGGCACAGAAGGGTCTATTTGTTGCTGCTTCAGCTACAGACAGCAGAGGCAAGCTGAGGGTCTCAGTTCTTCCATTTGTGAAATGGTCAAGGTATGCCTAAGGGACCTCCAGGAATCCTTTCCAGATGCAAAAACCCAAATGCCAGATCAGTACCAGGTTCTAGTCTGACCTTGGGAGTCATTTCCCCTCTGGTCTCTGGTTTCTTCTGCTGTCAAAGGAGGGAGGTCAGATCAGTGACTCATCACTAAGGTTCTTTTCAGCCCTGGTAGAAATTTCTAGATGGTAGGGAAGGAAGAACAGTATCCTACTTATCCCAGGAAAGCTAGAGAAGCTTGTTTCTTCCACTGCAGGCCAGAGCCCTTGGTGATGGCAGCAGTGGCAGTGGCAGGAGCCATAGCATCAACAGTGTTTTGGGGAAATCATCTTAAACATCTGAAAAGGCTTTCTTATACAAATTATGCCCACTACATCACTCATCAGGAACACCTAGAATATGCAACAAAAGGGCAGTACTAAGTAAATTATAGCAAATCTACTTGACTGAGACATTAACACTGGTGTTTATCAAGAGCTGGTCACAAAACAGGAAAAGACTGGTGTTATTTACCAGCCAAAAATGCAAGATATACATTTGAATATGGGCAACTCGACAGTCTTTAAAACCACCAACCACCAAAGCCAAAGGGCCTTGGAAAAACCACATCAACACATGAGCACTGACTGCTGAAGCCCACTAAAATATCCAACTTTCAGGCTTTTTGCAAACCATGTTATATCTGTCAAAAATACTTTTTTAAAAAAATGACTAGATACCTTCAATTGAGAAACCCTCTTTCATTCACTGATTCACTCATTCATTCACTACTGATCATTCAATCATTCACTCTGCTGTTTGTCCAACCAAACACCAGACAATATTGTCTGCAGTATGCCTAAGGGAATAATTCCTGCCTATAGGAAACTCTTGTCATGTCCAGGGTAGGGTAGGCAGTTCATCGTTGTGCCTCACTCCCTCCACCATCTCCAAGGTGCTTGTGCCCTGGGGTTGAAGAGTGAGCATCAATGAAACTGGCAAGATGCAACCCTGCCTCCCAGTGCCTTCATCTGTCTAGGCTGTCCCCAATTGCCAGCTCTCGCAATCTACCGTGGGGGTCAGAAAGTCATTCTTAAGATCCAGGCTTTCTACTGTATAGGTTTTGAGTAGGTAAAAGTTTAAATAGTAGTCTGCCAGTTCTAGCTTCCTCAACTTGGGCAGAGGGTCAGAGAGGCCTCCTTTTCGTCCTCAACCCAACTCCAAGCTAACATCCCTTCTTGTCCCCATGGCTCAGGCTTGTAACCACATTTTCCTTGGGCTACAAGGCCAGAGTCTGGCTGCCTGACTCTCTCCAGGCTAATTTTGATCTCCACAAGGTCCCTGAACAAGGAACCACCACAGGTTCTGTCCAGCTAGTGGCAAAGACAGCTGCAGCTGTGAAGAGAAAGTGCAAGGTCTGGATCTGTCAGCCAGTACCATGCTGTTAGCATGTAGGGGCCAACAATATTTCTCTGATTTAGGGACTGACAGATTTCTCGGGTAACTTTCAGTTCCTGAACCCAGTCAGAGAACAATCTAAAGACAGTCCGGTCTCCCAACTCCCAAGGTGCCTGCTCCCTTAGAAGCCCTGTCCAGAGACAGAGAGAGAGAG